GATACTGGCAATAGCCGCACTGAAGGAGGGGGACAACTGAAAACAGAGGCCTCCATCTCTGTTTAATGATGGACGGTCTTTCTTTACAAAAATGGCTTCTTTTACTCCTCTCTCAAACCAACGTTCCTCTCTGTCAAGAATGAGAACATCCTCATCTCTGAAAGAGTGACCGCTGGCCTGTAAATGAGTGAAAACTGCAGAGTTCTGGCCATTCTGGAAGAGACGAAACGTTTCATTAGAGAAGAACCCGTCTAGAAGACCTACACAATTTTTTTTCTTTTTGATTTTTTTACCTGGATTACTGAGATGCATCAGGTCAATTTGTTGAACTCGATCAGCAGCTGCTTTGGATGCACCGCATGCACGGAAAATGCTCTGCCGCATCCTACCGCTACCTKGCACGCTGCTCTAAACTGGCAAAATGCGCCGCAACGTGCTGCGCTGCTCCTACATGCACGTCCACCATAGACTTTGCATGTAAACTGTCTGCTTTGGCTGCTCAAAACGCGTTTGTTGGGAACCCGGCTTTTCTTTCATTTTTGCTTCTACTTTTCATTTAAAATACGTTTCCATTCTCGGCAGGTTTCTAAGGTTCTTCTTCTACGTATTAAAAAAGTTGTTAAACATCTGAGTGGTGCACTACTGCTACTAGTGGTGAGAAAGTGTATTGCACCTTATTCAAAATCAATGCGGTCCCACGCCAAAGTCAAAAACTGTTGTTCTTTTGAGGCCCTCAACAAAGTGGTGTTCGCGGCCCGGCCCATGGGTTAAGAATCTCTGCTCTAAATAAACCTAAACTACTTTGTGTAGCTGCAYCATGTTGCTGAGATGTATTATAACATATGACATCATTTTTTAAGCTTTTTAACAAAGGAAAAACAAAATTCTATTGATGGAACTACATCCTAAAAGAGTAAATGTTTTAGAATCACTTAAAGCACAAATTAAAGCATCAGATTTTTTTCTGGATTAAGGGACTAATATTTTTCACTTTTAATCCACCTGTGTGGTGGCCTACTTCAACCTTCCCTTTGTGGGTCAAACCACTGTGGAACAATGATGATGAATGAGACTGTGTTCATGGTTTTAATTTGTAATCTGCTCTTTCTGCTCAAATAATCCCTGAGTTCAAACTGTCGTTTCAAATAAATGACAAACAAAACTTTTTACACATTTTTTTTAGGTGAATGCCTCTTTCCTCTCAGTTTTGTCCTATAGAAACTTTACCATTAGAAACATGTGTATACCTTTTTTTATATATGATATTTTTTGACAGGAATTTTAGATTACATAATGCCATATATTTTAATCTTTATTTATCATCAGACTTTGCCATCTTAATTTATCAATTATGAACTCACAAAGTTTTTGTTGCCTGCCACCAAAAGTGAAAGTGCAATAATGTTTTCCTATGTTTGTATGTTTGTCTGTTAGCAAAATATCTGATAAACCGTTGGACAGATTTTATTAAAACTTTCAGAAATTAATCTTTGTTATTCAAGATGAAAATAAATAAAAAATGAGGTACAATTCAAGAATCTTGACTTTATGAAAATAAATTATGAAGTTGTGTTGACTTTGACAGTGTGTGATTTGTGTTTTCTTTAATGACATTGGTCAGAGCACTCGTTCCACTGAGTGACATGAATTATTAGAGAGAGAAAAAAACAGGTCGACGGAAAATAAATCATCACATCCTGTTAACCAGTGGAAGATTGCATTTGAAGGATTGTTTTGTTTGTCAAAAAAAAAATCCTGTTGAGCTTCGGAGTCTGATAAAGGATAGAAAATCCACAGATGACTGCTGCTTTCTGCTGGCAAAATCGGATTTTTCTGTCCCACTAATCCCTTGTCACAATCTGCATCCTGTATATCTCTCGCTTACTCTCTCTCTCAGTCTCTCTCTTTCTACGTGCAAGTGTGTGTGTATGTGTGTGTGTTTGCGTGTGTGTGTTTGTGTGAGAGAGAGTTTGTGTCACGGAGAGTCCATCCCATTCTGTCAGGACAGGCCACTCATGATTGGGGGACGTTCCTCCTTGTCTTGTGTGAAGCGTGAACACTCAAATCGACCTGGGTCAGCGGTGATTACAGGAGGGCGCACAGATGACTGAACCAGAGGGGGTCTGAGGGGGACTGGAGCTGAAGTTTTCGAACGGCGCGAGCGATGCAACGCAGAGCATCATGTCCCTGATGAACAGGGCGCCGGTGTTGGCTTCGTTTTGTGGACCGGCAGCCAACAGCCCTGCTCTGCGGTGGCTCGGTCAGAGGACCCCTGCTCTGATCTGACTGAGAGTGGATGGAAATCTCCAAGGAGTGAAAACATGCGATTGTGGTGGATTTTACTGGTTGGCTTTTGGAGCGTCAGCGGAGAACTGCCGTTTATAGTAAAGAACAATGCWGCCATGCTGGTCAACTGGTGAGTAAACGCCCAAACCATCTGTTGAACGTGCATAATGTGAGGCGGTTCACCCGTCAGCRCTTCGATTCTTGCATCCACATTGACATCCTCTTTAGCTAAACCTGCGAGGTCATGGGTCACTGCCACCACGTGTAAGCAGAGCACACTGCTGAGATATTCCTGGCCCGTTAAAGAGGGTTTGAACCTCAGATTAGCAACGCTAATTAGGATCGTGCTGAAGCTGAGGGGCTTATTTTCCCTTTTTAGCTCGTCTTGCAGTAAGATACACACACACTGCATCGTTGGGTCTCCCTTTGCAAATGAACTCCTGCGTCCAAAAGCACCGWCAACCAACAAATGTTCAGTTCTCATACTTTATCCAATGTATACCAATACACAACAGTTAGAGCTATCTTTTTACATCTAAAGGGGCCCCTCCTCTGTAACGGAGTCACTACCACAAACGGAGTGGCAGRAATGTAATATTCTTTATATAAGAGAAGTAAGCAGATGCTGCTGGTCCCCCGCCCCATGTGTTGCTTCTGCAGCAGCCAATCCCTGAGCTGTGACGTCACTAAAAGCACAACTGATGGGCCTCCATACGGATTAACCCTACAGACCCAATGACCACGACTAAGGATAAGTGATTTTTATTTGCCCCCCCACACACCCAATCCCTCCCCTTTGCTTCCGAGACATCTGGCTATGTGTGGGAGGCGTTCTAAAATCCTGGAGATTCAWTTATTGTTGATAAGCAAGTTGATTTGGAAAGGTTTCCTCCGTCTTTAGATGAAAAACGATAAAAAATAAAAATACAGATTTGAGCAACAGTGTGGGAGTGGTCCTTTTACACCGCACCAGAAAATAACACTGTGACATAAAAAGATGGTTGAAAGTAGTTATTATGTGTTGAGAACCTCTTCCGAGCTTCAACACATTTGCATAAATGTGGTCCTAAACTTCATCAGATGTTAACACAAAACCTGCAAGCAGGAAAAATGATGCTGTTTGTGTTGACAAAACCATTCTGTGACCAACAATCAGCTTTGAAGAATATTTGCTCATTCTTCTGTACAAAGTGGTGAAGTAGTTGCTCTTTTTCACACAAGCTAGCAGCTTTGGCCACTTTCTGAACAGTCTATTAGATAACATTCAAGACTTTGATTTCCCTGCAAAAGATTATCGACTGTATTGTTTAATCTTTCTTTGGTGGATTAAATTCTGTGTCTAGGGTTCCTCATCGGCTGATTGACCTATTTTCCCTTTAAGATTAGAGTCACAGATCTTTATCTCAACATATTCCTTAAGAAATCATTGGTATGACTGAGTGAGAATTACTGATTATTACTGAAGACAAAACACAACACTCAGCATTGTGGTGTGGGGTTAAATCATTGTACTTCCTCCACCGTGCTTTCAAAGACGATAAAGTTTGCTGTACCAAACTTCTTTGCTTTCTTTTTTTTTAAACATGTATCAATCCAGGTGTGTAATGGACTTGCGACCTGTCCAGGGTGTACGCCACACCCCGCACAGTGACTGCTGGTCCAGTGACCCTGAAAGGAAGAAGCAGGTAAAAGATAATGGATGGATGGAGCTATCATCTGTTATCTTTACCAGCTTTTTCCTTTCTGGGTTGTTGTAGGGGTCACTAGTGTCCGAATAAGTCTATCACAGGACCACTTAGAAACCAACAACCATTCACTCTCTCACACTTAGGGACAGTTTAGAGTTACCAAGTACATGCCTGTTTTTAGTTTATTGGAGGGAACTGGAGTACCTGGAGAAAACCCACATGTGCACAGGAGGAACATGCAAACTACACTCATTTAATTTGCAGGTTGCAGTGAAGCTAAGTTTTGCACTGAAACAAAATAAGCATCATCCAAATCATGACCCACTTCTAACGCCTTGTTAAATTTTAAAACAAAATATTTTTGATATTGTTAACCCCCATATTTAACCAGTAAGTGTCATTTTTGTTATGTTAGAAAACTATCGTAAAGTAGAAACTTTTATAGTAGCAAACATTTTCCCCCTTTCTTTTATTAAGTGCAATATTTCAATTCAGACCTCTTCTTGGTTTACGGAAGTTTTTGGAACTTTATAAACTATGGACAAATGTATGCTGGTTTTAGTTGTTCTAAAACAAAAGAGGTCAACTGTAGATCAGTCCTGCTGTTGCAGCACCACAGAAGTTTTAGCTTTAGACTTAACTGATGGTATGTGTTATTGTGATAAATAGGTAAGCTAAACTTTGTCCTGGAACAAACAAAAACCAGCCAGCATTGGGGGGGGGTTAAAATTTGATTTCGCATGGATGGGCAGTGTCATGATCTGTGCCTTTGCTTTAGTTTTATAGTGTTTCTGTGTTCCCCTGTGTATCTCTCCCCTGCTGTCATTCCTCTAGCCCCGCCCTTGCTCACCTGGTTCCTCTTGTGTTTCCTCCAGGTGTTTCTTGTTGTCCCTAATTAGTTTACCTTTATATTCTGTGTCCTGTGTTCAGTCTGTGTCCGATCATTGTTTTGTGTTGTGCTGTCTTCCGTGTCCCTCCTGAGACCTTGTGAGTATTTTGCTGCCACAACAGCCCTCTTTTTGTTTATTATTAAAGAGCTTATTTCGCCTTTTGAATTTTGCCTGCGCCCTGGGTTTTTCCCTGCCTGCACCTCACAGACAGTAATTATTTGTTTTAATCAGTAAGTGTTTGACTATGTACACATTTCAATATATTAACCAGTTACTTTCAGAACTCACTGTAGATTTGTAATGCATTAAAACACCTCAACGATCAGCTATAATCAGTTRGTCTTCTCTGTTTAACTCAGTTCTTTATTAACTTATCTGTAAAACATAATAAACTGCATAAGCAATCTTTATGCAGCCGTGTTAGAGATGAAAGCTGCTTCACCGTACCTCGGCTGGTAAAAATGTTCTCTGTTCCTGCTGTCTGGCCGATCAGATGATACTGATTGAGTCTTGAGCCGTCCTCTGCCACCACCACAGACTTGGCTGCTTCCTGAGTCCACTCATACACCACCTCTGAGACAGGATATGCATCTAGGAAGAAAGAAAATTAGCACACATGTTCACAAAAAATACTTAGAACGTCTCTTTATATAAGCTTCCTTCGATTTGATTGGTAAACTTTTAGTGTCAGTGCATCGATTGTTGAAGCTGCAATTACCTTAAYTGAGAAGGTCATATTTAATACAAAACATATGTTTCTTTATGAGTTCAATAAGGAAAACCATGACAAGATTCAGATTATAACTTTATTAAAAATTATCTCACATCTGTGCTACAAAAAAACAATAATAGGAAACCTGAAGGAGAATGACAGAGCGAGTTCTGATGAAATCAAACAGGTACCTTTAAGGCAATTAGCATACACGCTTGTTCTGTGGCTGAAAATAAACAGTAAATAATGTGTGTTTAAATCTGCTGGACAGACATCAGTGATGAGGGTCAACTGTAAAAACCAGACTGTAAAAATAATGTAGTTGTGGGTTTTAGTTTTTAATTTAAAAATATATATTGTTGCAAGGATGTCGCCATATAATTTACACCGCAAAGCATTCTGGGTAAATGACCTATTCCAGATCCCGTGTGAGCTCTATCCAGCTTGGATGTTAATTTTGGACAATGTTTGATGTTTGAAATGAAACAGTGTTAACAAAGAGGGAGGATAACAGAGCTGCTTCATGGAAGGAGAAACACCCGAGCCAATACACTGTAAACACACATGGACAAAAACATTGGTACCCATTGTTTACTGAAAGAAATACCCACAATGGTCACAGAAATAACTAGAATCTGACAAAAGTAATAATTAATAAAAATTCTATGACAATAAACAAATCAAAGTCAGACTTTGCTTTTCAACCATGATTCAGCAGAATAAAAAAAATCAAACTCAGGTAACAGACCTGGACAAAAATGATGGTACACTTAACATTTTGTTGCACAAACTTTTGAGGCAATCACTGCACTCAAACAATTCCTGTAACAGTCAGTACACCTCTTGTGGTTTGCAAATTTATAAATTATATACATTTACAGCGGGTAAAATAAGTATTGAACACGTCACCATTTTTCTCAGTAAATATATTACTAGAGGTGCTAATG